CACCGTCGAGACGGCGGCGTTTGGACGCCTTCCCGGTGGCATTTTTTGATGAAATTTTTATGGCATGTTCTCCATCAAGTCTAGTTTATCCACAAAAAAATTCAGCCAAAAACTCATTCGGAAAGATCGTCAAATGATTTTTCCAAGTTAACTGGTCCGGAAAATACATATTCCGAACCAGTTAAATTGGAAAAATCATTTGACGACCTTCCCAATTGAGTTTTTGGCTGAATTTGTTTGTGGATAAACTAGACTTGATGGAGAACATGTAACAAAAATTTCATCGGAAAATTCCACCCGAAAAGCGGCCAAACGCCGCCGTCCAGACGGCGGTTCTGGTCAGGAATTCCTGACCGGAAGAGTACTATATACTCCCTCCGGATCTTTTTAAACTTCACAGTTTGACTTCACACAGATTAAGAAAATAAAATTGACTTTACTTTAGAGTACACTGTTGAGACACTGTTTACCACTGTTTGGCACTGTTGAAACACTGTTTGGCACTGTTGAAACACTGTTTGTCACTGTTTAGCACTGTTTAACACTTTTTTGAAGTTGATTTCTTTGCCAAATAAGGAAATAAGGAAGTGTGAAGTTTATTTTGGACCGTCCCAAAAAGGAAAGTGTGAAGTTTATTTAGAACCGGAGGGAGTATATAGAAAGACAGATGCCTACATACTCCTTTTAGAGTTCTTTCATGGGTAATTTTCCCAAATAACTCCTCTTAGGATGTTTTCTTTTGGACTAATTTCAGTCCCAAACTAGACAGATCATACCAGACTTAAACAGACTAGACCAGATCAGACCAGACTTATACAGACCAGATTAGACTTGAACAGTTCTAAAATACACAGAGTTTCTTATTATGTCTTGGTTATTTTTTTTTAAATTGATTCTCTATCTCTAAATCTACGTGTCTTGTAACCATAGCTGAAGTTTTAAACCTGATACGTACTTCAATGTTTTGATTATACTACCAGCTTTCAGCTTTAGTTCGTTTTTAAGAACTCACCAATTACCATGATGATATTTTTAACAAGCAAACTTTTTTTGAGATTAAAAAATGCATCTGTTACATTTTGACTCACTTGCTACATAAACGATCATGTTCTCACATGTATCAATTTCTACTACAATATCTTCCGGATTTTTCAAAATGGTATCATAAGTTCAGTAAAAAGTGGTAACCGATGGATTTTGTTTTCAAGGCTTTTTTACTTGTGTGCGTATTAACCCACCAAAGCACACTTGCATTGTTATTATTGATAGATTGGTTTCTCTTTCCTAATTTCCTAGAGAGTAGAGATAAAGATTGCGAAGGACATTAAACTCGACACTTTCCTAGCATGTTAGTTATTGTACTTCCACCCGCCTCCCCTAAATACAAGAATACACTAAATATGCCCTTCATGAACTACACAGCTCAAACATACACATTATAACATCCAGAGTATAAGCTAGGAAACCAGAATTACATTTCCATTAAAGTCCAACATAAAGGTCATAAACTACTCCGTAAAAGACAACAAAACTCTGAGAGCCACTGACTTAAAGATAGCAAAGGGCACCCAATACAAAAATACTCCACAGAAGTCGGGCATTCGGGCAGTAGTCGTTATAGAGGTTTGATGGGACAAAGACATAAATGGTGACCTCCTCCACAGAAGGAACAAATGCTATCCTTAAAACATTCAGATATTTCCTCAGGCGTTTTAGTTAGAAGAATAAATTCAAGAATAGAGCCTGGTCTTACGCTTACCCAAGGGTATTGTGATGAAGGATAGTAAGAATCGGAATGAAAAGGTTGCGTGGTTGGAGTGTATGGATAAGAGGGCTGAATATTTTGTGGTGTAGGAGAGTAATATTGATGAGGTGTGTAAAGTTGAGGAGAAGTGTAAGGAGGACATGGTGCAAATGGTGAATATTCCGTGGAGGTTTGAGGGTAAGGTGTTCCTCCGTAAATCGAGCTGAATGAGTTCATCTCATCCTCTTAAGAACAAGTACCTAAAAGGTTAACACAGAAAAAATCCTACGAAGAACTAAAAAAAACTAACAAAAAAAATCTCGCTGAAATTAATTAACCCTTAAAACCGACACCGTCCCCGGCAACGGCGCCATAAACTAATGTGAGTTTTCTCGCACTTAAAATAGATCGTAATATAGTGGTGTAAGTACAAGTATCGTCTCCAGAGGGACGGACAAAAGGGAATCAAGAATTAATTAAATTTAGCGATTAAAAATAAAATAAAATAAATGCGTCGTGCGAGATTGGTTGGTATGAAAAATTAAAATGCAACTAAATGATTAAAATAAATGGGTTCTCTCTAATTAATGACGAAGGGAACAAGGATTGATTCCGGGGTAACCAAATTTCTGGCAGATCAGGCCTAATTACATAAAATTAATTCAATTGAGCCTAGCTAATCATTACTAAGTTCTTACCGCTCTCGCGGCGTAGAGTACAATAATTTAGGGGACCAGGTTGATCTCTCATGCGAAAGGATCCTAAATTATTGCCAAGACGAGCGAGGTTACGGCCCCTTAATCGCTACTAATCTCTTAGCGAACGATTAAGTGTGTGTGAAGGTGTCCTAGAATAAACTAGATCTCTCTTACTTTATTCTACAAGCAATTCTAATTCTAGCGCGCGTTCTAGGTTACAAAAGATATCATTTAAATTATTCAAACACAAATTAGACGACATTCATGCAATTAATCCATCAAGAATCTAGACATACATCATGATCAACCCCTTCATCAACCCCAAATCCCTAATTAAACTACTCACAATTCATAATTGAAGAATCAACAGAATTGGGATGAATAGAATAAATTGTCATTAATTAAAAAGATGAACTTACAAAAAATCCCGGGTCATGGAATAAATTAGCGTAAAAACGATGTTAAATTCGTCCCTAGACCTCTCCGTAATGTTCGTAACGTCAAAATATGGGTATGGGTATTGGGCTGAACTGGGACTAAAAAGGGGTTGAAATTCGCGTTTCGGGGGTACGCACGATCGTGCGTACCTTGACACGCACAATCGTGCGTACGTGGCAATGGCTCTCTTGCTTTCTCGCCTCAGACGCACGATCGTGCGTGCCCCTACGCACGGCGTGCGTCAAACTTCCGAATTTGACAAAACTTCCTTCATGAAAGATGTAGATAATGAAGTTCTCTATCCACCCCAATTTTCGTAATTGGATTTGAATCATCCAATCAAGAGATATGAATAAAATGGTGGAAGGTGTCATTCTAAAATCGTAACAGAGATCATCTGACTTCATCGTCTGTTTTCACCTTGATCATCTCAGATTCTCGGAATGATGTCTTCATATGATTTGTAGCCCTTGAAGTTAGATTTCATATACAACTTAATCTTGTCCTTTTAATGATTCTACAAAGAGATATGCTTGAACGATTGACAGAAGGTCATCCTGATCGCCGTTTTCCAGCTTTATTCATCTTCTTTTGATCCCGAAGCCAATCCTAGAGCTCTTTTTCCTTCAAATCTTCATCGTGAACCTCCCGGTGACCTCCAAAGCTCTCAAATCAATCTCAAATTCTTCTCAACTCATCCCGATTTCTCCTCAAGAGCCAGTGCCGAACTATAAAATCCTGATTTTGACCTCAAATGACACAAAACTCGAACCAACGCCTGTTAAACATAACTTGAGCTAAAATTGAGACTTGTAACACCATGATTTAATTTTAATCTGAAATTTAGTGAACATGACCTACACTTTAGGAAGAACATGATCATCAAATTTCATCAAAAAATTTGACTCAGAAGCACCTCAAATTTCATAAAAATGTCTCATTCCCGTCATGACGTCCTGACCCGGACCTCCGTGCGGAGAACACCATCAGATTGTCTTTACGGTGGAATTTGTTGATGAAATTTTGTAACACCGGACCCGAATTTTACTGTGAGAATTTTTTTTTTTTCATCAAGTACTGGGTTAAAGAAGGTAAATCAAGGCTAAGAGTAGTCTTGATAAATGAGAAAGTAAAAATTTTGTCTTAAATTAATAAAGGATTATTAATTTAGACGTGGGGACCACTCATGACATTTCGAGTTTATAAAATATTAATGTATATCAAAATGATACTATTATGATAGTATGGATGGTTCCTGGACCCCGGTAATATAAAGAATGACAACTAGATGGCCAAGCGGGCCAGTGTCACTATTCGATAATTGTGAGTCCTTAATTATCGGACTGATAATAATTCGGAAGGCTACAAATTAATAATAGAAGGAATATAAATATTTTAAGAACCCAAAACATGGGATGATGGATAATAATGAGCAACTTGACATGTTAGAGGTGGGTACTTTTGGAGGACCCTACCTTGGAGATATTTTGTATAAGAATAAACAGATAAGATTTTATCTGTTCATACAGTTCGGACCACTTAAAAATAAGTGTAACATTTTATTAAAGTGTCACCAGATATGAAACCACATATTAAGTAATGAGAAATGACGAGTGAGTTTTCGAGGCAACGCGTTCTCATTTTTACTGTTACTTCAATAGTAAAATACACGTTGGGCCCACACGTGGGCGGCGACCATCCGATATTTACGGACCACATATTATATTCATCTTGGTTTAGATAATATTTATATGATGGTGTAAATTAATGTTGAGCCATAAAGTTGGCCTTTCAATCAAACAAGGTCCCATTATCGATATAGTTAATTAATCAGATAGCAGTCCGAAATAAATTCCGGGGACCACTAAATTGAAGTTGGGTAATATATATTCATTTTAGAGTCCAATATTAATTGGAAGAATGATATATATTTTACTTGACCCGATAAAATAAAATTTAATTAAAACAGTCCGGAAAATACAACTTTCGGGACCGAATATACACTTTTGGACATAAAGGGATGACCTCCCACATGAATGGGGGCCACCCCACAAAATAATATCAACCAAGTCGGATGATTGAGGGAGAGGTAGTTGTAGAGGTACATGCATGAAGGGATTGGGAGACAAAGAAATAAAGGAAAAGGGACCCCCCATATGATTTTGAGTGATATGTTCAAAATGGCTTCCTTCACTCATTTTCCTACCATAACTCCGACCCAAGGCATCCAAGGAAGAGAGAGGAGGTCTGAAACTTTCCATTTCCATAGCCATAATCAAGCTCAAGCCATAAGGAGGTCCAAGGAAGAAGAAAGAGTTAGAAAAGAAGAGAAAAACCTTGATTAATTAAGGTAATAATCTCATTAACATTTTTCATCCTCCATTCAATCTCATATGATTTTATAAATCATATGATGGACCCTTAAACTTGTTCTACACTTATAGAGGTGTAGAATGAGGGTTTGGAGGGTTAAGTTTAACCATAAACGGAGTTATGACCGGAGTAAGACCGGTTCACCGGAAAACACCTTCTCGGAAGGTTTGGATATTTATACCACTTTTGGTTGTGAAACCTTGTTAGGATTTTACAAAAATATTCTAGACTTCTCAAGGAATCTAGGAGTGGCCGGAAAAGTCGCCGGATCCGCCGGAGTTTTTGCCGGAAAATTCAAAAGTCGCCGGAGTTCAAACAAAGAAGATAAAAGCTTGCTAGCGTCATTTCAAGGTGAGTGGACGACTACGTGTCTTGTAACTCTTGGTTCAAACGTGGGATTACCTAAATAAAATCATAACCATGATTTGAGAAATGATGAAATGGATTAAAATGCATGATTAGTCATGGTGTATATGACTAATGAAAAAAATAGATTAATTTATTAATTAATCATTAGTACGTAGTATATATTTCTTAATGCATAAGAGGATATACTTGAACCATGTATGAGATAAGCTCGAATAATCTAGTAAGTGAATATAAAAGGGTTGTAAAGTTGTGATTATCCATATTAAATATGGATTATGGAAGTATTATATGATACATAAAAAAATAGATTAATTTATTAATTAATCATGAGTATATTTTTCTTAAATGAATAAGAAGGTATACTTGAACCGTGTATGTGATTAACTAGAGTTATCTAGTAAAGAAATATAAAAAGATATGTGATATGTGATTAGTCATATTAATTATGGATTATGGAAATATGGCATAATTAATGATTAATCAATTAATGGTATGAATAAAAGGTTGTAAGAAAGGATCATGAGCCATGATTTGAGCTTGGGCAGGAGATTACTCAAATAAAACAGAATGATATTCCATGAAATGTTAAATACATCTAAGAATGTATTAAGGAAAGATTTACTTATTAATAGTATTAATAAGTGTATTTAATATGCTTTAATTTGGACAGAAAATGATTATAAATTATGTGTGATGATTTGGACGTCCAAAATAATATTTTTGGACTAAGAATGACTTGTTGCATAAGCGTATAAAATTTCGTGGAAATCGGACCCCGTTTGGATGGTCAAACGGGCATTGACCAAAATGTTGACCGGTTGCCCAGGGGGTAACCGGCGCCGGTTATAGGCAAAACCGGCGCCGGTTATGGTTCGGTTTACTCAATAAAATCAGTAAACCGGCGGCGGTTATGGGTAAAACCGGCGCCGGTTATGTCTCGGCTTTCAGGACTGATTTTTGCTAAAAACCCAAATCGGGCCCGGTTCGACGTGGGATTAATTCTGACCATCCTTTATATGAATATTTTGCATGGAATTGCATGAAATATGATGTTTAAAATGATAAGGCTTGGAATACGGGTTAAACGCTAAGACTTGGACTAGTCGTTAGTAAAGAAATTATAGACCACGACCGGGCGAGGTACGTGGTAGATTATAAATGGCAGGTGAATACCCGGGACCAAGTAAGGTTATATAATACTCTGTAGGACAAGGAGGAGTCCTCTACACTCAAACGTTAACAAGGGCCCGTGCAGTCCTTGAGGTGTGTTTAACCTCCATCAAATTGCATATAGGTAACAAGGGCAAATGCAGTCCTTGAGGTGTGTTTAACCTCCATCAAATTGCATATAGGTAACAAGGGCAAATGCAGTCCTTAAGGTGTGTTTAACCTCCATCAAATTGCATATAGGTAACAAGGGCAAATGCAGTCCTTGAGGTGTGTTTAACCTCCATCAAATTGCATATAGGTAACAAGGGCACATGCAGTCCTTGAGGTGTGTTTAACCTCCATCAAATTGCATATAGGTAACAAGGGCAAATGCAGTCCTTGAGGTGTGTTAACCTCCATCAAAGTGCATATAGGTAACAAGGGCCCGTGTAGTCCTTAAGGTGTGTTAACCTCCAGTAAATTACACATAGGATGAGGGTGTATGCGTACTCCTCGAGGCGGGGTTAACCCGGAAATGAAAACTATGATAGCAAGGACGGATAGTCCTCGAGGTAGGTGAACCTCGAAGTAATGATTTTAAATGATTAAACGTGCTTGATCTGGAACGAGTTCCCGATATAATATTTTCCTTGGTCTAGGGATTGGTTTAAACCATGTCTGTGATATGAGAGTCCGAAGGGCCCCACAGTAATTATATTTTGGTATCGAGTGAGTTAGCCTGCGGGTGACTCCACTCGAGGGTAAGACATGGGAAGGATGAATTTAATGAGGCTGTTACGCCTAAATGATTTGAAAGACAAATGGGCCCACGGGCCAGATATTTTACTCATATGTATATATGTATACATTTTGTTTTGAAAAGGGGTAGCTAAGAGTTATTCCCATAATTATACTATCACCCTATTTTGAGGGTCTCACGTGAGAAACGTTAGTTACATCACATACAGTTTGCCCTCACCAGTACTTTTCTGTAGTACTGATCCCTCGGGGGAACCACCCTTTCAGGTTGAAGCTAGAGCTTACTTCCTGCACCCGTTGCTCGGGAGATCGATGGAGAGAAGACGTGGTTCGTGCTTCCTCTCGTTCCATTTTTAAATAATTAAATAATGCTCATGGAACTATTTTCACTTATAAATTAATGAAGCCTGCGAGCTCTTGTTTTACCCTTGTGTGGGTTCTTACTAAACACTTATATTCCGCTATGTGTTTGATTGTATGTTGATGTTGTTATGTATGTTTACTAATCGGTTTTGGCATATGTATCTTTCGGACGTCTTGTATAATTCGGTAAGAATGAACTGCGGTTATTCTTATTGGGTTGTACGACGGTTGTCCACGTGGCACAGACGCGGTCTGGGGCGTGACAAATTTTTTGAGAATGTTCCTCATCAAGTCTAGATTATTCATACCAAATTTCAGCTTAAAATTCTATCGGGAAGATAGTTAAACAAATTCTTGAAACATACTGCGTTTTATATATGTATAAAATGTGCTGTAAGAGAAGAGCCGCTACTTGGAGTGGCGGCTTTTGTACTGTAAGAGAAGAGCCGCCACTTCAAGTGGCGGCTTTCCTTAACCACGGTTAACTCACCAGTATTTTGGGAATTATTTATTTAATTAGCATTATTCGAGAAAAAACTCTAATTACTAGGTCCAAGAATATGTGGGTGTTTGGATCTGATTCTTAAAACTGCTTCTGCTCCTTCAGGAAGCAGAAGCAGAAACTGGAGTATTTGGGTGAAAGTGCAGAAGTGATTCTGATACTCAAATTTACTCCTAGAATCAGTTTTTTTAAGAACTGGGGGTGACCAGCTTCTGAAAACTGATTCTGATTCTGATTCTGCTTCAGCTTTAAAAAAGAAGCAGAATCAGAATCAGTTCCAAACACCCCCTATATCCACTTTTAATTACTCAATTCACTGCCCTTATTTGCATCAATCTTTAGAACACTTAATCTTTAAACATTTATCTTTAAATAGATACTTGCTCCTAGTTATAATTTTTCAAATTAGCATAATTTAGAACACAATCACTTCCGTTTATTGAAAAAAACTTCCAACGATTAGCGATAACACGTGACTAAAATTAAATTAAGAAGTTCCTCCGTCATTCCTCAAGAGACACGATACTCGGGGAAAAAACCGAAAGGTTAGACTCCGTTTTACTACAACGCCGTGAAAGCGGTTATCAGTCAACCTCCAGGTTTTTTTCATCTTTCTTTCCTTCATCATGTGTGTCGTCTCAAAAAGGCTTTATATGGTCTTAAACAGGCCCCCAGAGTCTGGTTTCACAGGTTCAGTGGTTTCCTCTTATCTCATGGTTTTACTCAAAGAAAATTTGATTCATTCATGTTTGTTTTTAGTCAACATTCTCAGGTTGTTTACATTCTCCTTTATGTGGATGATATTTTAATTACTGGCTCGTCGTTACCTCTTGTCCGCTTTATCATTCATTCTTTGTCTACTCAGTTTGCCATGAAGGACTTGGACGATATTCACTTTTTCTCGGGCCTTGTACAAGCCAGTTCGTACACCACTACCGTCGCGTACTACTCTTTCTCTCACAGATGGTGAACTTCTTTTTCTGATACTACTGAGTATCGCCGTATGGTAGGTGCATTGTGATATTTGATTTTAACTAGACTTGATATAATTATGCTGTACATTTGGTTTCTCAGTTCATGCATGCACCACGTACTACTCATCTTTGGCTGTGAAGCGGATTTACATATATTTGCAGGGTACTACAGATTATGGCTTGTGGCTTCAAGCTAACCGTGACATCTCTCTTCTTGTGGCCTACTTTGATGCTGATTGGGCAGGTTGTCCGGACAACAGTCGTTCCACCACTGGTTATGCCATTTTTCTGGTCCCAATCTTATTTCCTGCCTTCCTGGCGCTCCAAGAAGCAACCTACTATTTCTAAATCTTACACGGAAGCTGAGTATCGTGCCATAGCCTACACCATTCAGGATAATATTTTCATCCGCTCACTTATTTCTGAGATGGGTATTCAGCTTTCCACACCGGTTCAGCTCCACTATGATAATGTGTCTGCTTCTTAATTAGCTATGAATCCCATTCAGCATGATCACAGTAAGCACATCAAGATTGATTATCATTTTGTCAGAGAAAGAGTTGCTCATGGAGCTCTGGTGGTCAAATATGTTCCGACGCGGTTATAGTTAGCTGATATTTTGCTAAAAGCTTATCTAGTCAAGGTTTTGAATTTTTACGTTCCAATCTGCGCGTTGTTTCCCCTGCACAGATTGAGGGGGTGTAATAATCTATAGTATTGAGACATATTTGTAATTTTCCTATTTATTTGTTTAATATATATAGACCACCAGGACACCCTAATAGGGGGGGGGGGGCATTATTACATCTTATTATTTCATACCTGGCACCTCCTCAGTGTTGCCTATGTCTCCTTCCTTAGTCACACTGTTCCCTGTTCCTGTTGTGGACTCATGCCACCCCTGTCCCCCCGTCCTTTCACCTTCATGATCAGCTTTCCTCCGTTGCCTAATAATCTCTAAGCTTAAGGAGCTCTCAACTAACCACTTATTACCTCCCGTGGAACTAGTCCTCACCCCTCCACCAGCCCAAAGTTCCACCATAAATGTTTTTTCCAGAACTATACCTTCCTCATATTTTAAAGGGCGTAAATCATCCGAATGCCCAACAATCCCACAAATAAAGCATAAATTGGGAAGCTTTTCTACTTGAAATCTACTCAATGCCCTATACCACCCTTCTTAAGAGTAGATCCCTTCCTCATAGGTTTCCCAACATCCATACCGACTTTAACCCTCATATGTGATTCCCACCTTTCTTCAAATTGACTCTCATCAAAGCTAATTAATTTACCAGTATAGTTTCCAATCCTCCAAGCATTACGCAAACTCACAAAACTATATGGCACATTATGAACCTGTACGAAAAATCTACCTCGGACAATTTCATTTTATGGGTTATATCATCTAGCCTAACTTCTTTAAGAAGCACCAAGTTCCTTTCAGATAACCCAGGACCATCCTCAAGAACACGATTCATATCCACAATATGATTACAAGTAAGCAGATACATTTTATCGCCAATTTCTTTGATAGAGCTACTGTTACCCGGACAACAAATAGAAGCCAAAAGATCTTTGAAGACTTGAAACTTGATTTTCCAATATGTGAGGAGAATACCAAACACCGGGAAAACCTCCTTCTTCTCGGCCTGCTCAATCAAGTTGCCTTTCTCATCATCAAAGTTTAGTTCGCCCTCCTCCTTTCTAATGGCCATCTGCTTGTAATGGTTAACAATATCATCCATCTGCCTCCTAGATTTTGCACTGCCTCATTGAACATACCAAATCAACGCAGCCGCTACGTCTCAGAACACCTCCCCTCCACGCTGGAATCCCACAAGTACCCATTAGCCCCTCGCGAGAAGACGAATCACGTTGTACTCCGACTAAAAGTCAAAAACAGAAGACAATACTCTAGCGGCCGAAGCCCTAGAGTGAGACTAAAACCTTTTTGACTCAATAGCAATTAATTGATAACTCAACCTATAACACTTTTAAAACCTAAAATATTTTTTTTGAATGAAAACTTGCCTCTATTCATATCATAAGTTTTAGGATCATTACATCAATCAAAGGAAAAAATTTGACACCAACTAAACTCTAACAACTACGACTATAAACCCTATGATCAGACTTAGAGACGGTCACCCCTGAAAGAGCAACACAAATTGCTAACCATGCAGCGGGCTTGACACATCCATCCCTGTTCCCATAGATCCAAACATACCCAATGACATAAAAAAGGCTAAATTCCCAAACAAACTGACAAACTTAACAACATAGACGGTAACAAGAAACTAAATGACAAAATAATAACAACTAATTAATAGGAGGAGGACGAAACGTGAAAAAAAACTAAAAAAAGAAAAATAAATATCTCGAACCCTAGCACCTCGTTCAACCCCTGGCGGTGGTTCAGGAGGAGGCCAGCCCATCGCTATGATTGTTGACACGAACAATAAGGCTCCCGCCCGTCGCTCGATTGATTCCATGATGAGCAACCTTCATCTGCCCCCGCAATTTCAACCCCTCTGGACGCCTCCTTTTCTCCCTCCCTTGGCTCCCGCAACTCCTTCTCCATCGGCCGCCACAGCATGACTAGCGATACTCCTGCGAACTTTTCCTTCTCTGCTAAACTAATCGCCGCACACTCGCACCAAAGGACGACAAAAAACTATCGCCGCACACAAGACGGAAAAACTAGAAACCCTTATTCAAGGGAGACGGTCGCTGATGTACACTTTTAGCCATGGGCTCATAGTTTTCTAAAAACAACCTAAAGTCTTTTGAAACTGCTTAATTATTTCTTTTCTTTATTTTTATATATGCAATATTAGTGTCATATAAAAGGTAATAACAAATCATGAATTTTGATACTCCGTATATTTATTGTAACAATCTGAGTACAAATAAAACATTTATATTAATTTAAGAAAAATATGTGTTTTTCATTTGGTGAAACACTTTTAATTCAACACTGTTTCGGTAATTATTTTTTAATTTGACATTATTTTTGAGAAAAAAAATCCAGGTATATACTACCTCCAAATTCATGTAAAAGTTTTTGTCCACTATTTTTAGGTTAATGAAAAAATATTCTTGATTTTTTACATCATATACTACCTATTTGCCTCTGTCCCATAAAACTTGGCCAACTTCCCTTTTTTGGAAGTCCTAAAAAATCTTGTCAATTCCATTTAAAGTAACAAATATGTGGGTAAAAATAATTTTTCTTTCATCTGCACAAATATCAACCACACAGTTTTTCTAATATTAAATTTGACCAAGTTTTAAAGGGCTGAAGGAATATCTCACTTTGATGATTGTTTAAATTTTTTGATGATTGTTTAAATTTTTTACTGTAGTTTTTTAATAAAGAATTTTTATTTATCAAAACTAATTTTGTTGTTGAAAAATACTACCTCCGTCCCAAAATTAACTTCTCGTTCGGTTTACGATGTTTGACTAACGATAAAGCAACTCGATCCCTGCTCACACTCGGATTATTTTTAATAAATAAAATTTACATATTCAGAAACTACATTAAAACCGCTACAAAGTCTGATCAATAAAATTTAAATTTGATAAAAATTTGATATAAAAAATAAAAGATTACGAGTGATTCAAGTTGACCAATGAATAATGACTGGAAAATTGTTTTTGGGACGGAGGGAGTGAATTATCATTATGGCCAATATGCAAGTCAAACAAAAAAAACTTACACAAGTAAGACAATTATGGCCTAGATTTTGTGGGCCCTAGATTTTTTTCAACTTTGTGAGTCCCGAGGCAATGGCCTATTGGCCTCATACAAAGGTTCGGCCCTGCTTTTGTGAAAATGGAAAAACCCTAATGCCTGTATTCCACACGGGTATTTACGTAAACGAAAGCTTCTTGTTGCCCTGATACATCATTTCTCGCCTATATATACTCTCAAAGTGATCAGAATCATCCCTGCTTTGTATACTCTTCTCTTTGTCCGGCCGCAGCATTCACTCATCTAAAGGTTAGTTAGATTCATAAGATTTCGTAATAATTTATGAGTTCCGCGTATGTATACAAGCATTTCATGTGGTCTCTATATGTTAACCATGTTTTCTTTGTGAATCAAGCTGTTCTCTTTGTTTTTTATTTAGATATCGTAGTAGAAATGGTGTTTAAGTACGTGTATCTCCTGAATATTTTTTTACTGATCGAGATCTTTGTTACTCGCGCTATTACTAGGTCAGAGTTATTGTTGAGATTTTCTCTGTATTCCTTGTTCAGAAAGTCTGGAGTACTGTAAATCCGTGGTTGATTTTAAATAGATGCGTGAGAACTAACTATTTTGAAGATCTCGATGTCTTTTGTTATCTCATCTCTGTTTGTAAGTTATATTTTTCACTGGCATGATTTTGTTGTAATCCATATTGAGAAATAGATGGTTAGTTTTAATTTGATGTGTAAGATTTGCTCTGTTCTGAAGATCTGGGTGTCGTTTGTTATGTCATCTAAGCCATAAAATATTTCTCAAACACTGTATTGTAGACTTTGAATTACATTTTGTAAAAGCTTTTTTATATTATTCTCTATGTAGTTTATTAGTCGTTGGTCAAGTTATTAATCGGAATTCATGATTACAACAATATCTAACTCTATTGTTATTTCTATTTGCTTACAGGTGCCATAATCCACCATGGGTAAGGAAAAGGTTCACATTAGCATTGTTGTCATTGGCCATGTTGACTCTGGGAAGTCAACCACCACAGGTCATTTGATCTACAAGTTGGGAGGTATTGACAAGCGTGTGATTGAGAGGTTTGAGAAGGAGGCAGCTGAGATGAACAAGAGGTCCTTCAAGTACGCTTGGGTTCTTGACAAACTCAAGGCTGAACGTGAGCGTGGTATCACAATTGATATTGCTTTGTGGAAATTCGAGACCACAAAGTACTACTGCACTGTCATTGATGCTCCTGGACATCGTGACTTCATCAAGAACATGATTACTGGAACCTCACAGGCTGATTGTGCTGTTTTGATCATTGATTCCACCACAGGTGGTTTTGAAGCTGGTATTTCCAAGGACGGTCAGACCCGTGAACATGCTTTGCTTGCTTTCACTCTTGGTGTGAAGCAAATGATTTGCTGCTGCAACAAGGTTTCATTTATAAACTATCAATATTTAGTTCTAAATGATTTAATTTATATATTAATTTTAATTGTATTTTGTTATGTCAAACAACTTTTGCTGATGATCTCTTGATGTTTAATTTGCAGATGGATGCCACAACCCCGAAGTATTCGAAGGCTAGGTATGAGGAGATTGTCAAGGAAGTGTCATCCTACCTGAAGAAGGTCGGATACAACCCTGACAAGATCCCCTTTGTTCCAATCTCTGGTTTTGAGGGTGACAACATGATTGAGAGGTCAACAAACCTTGACTGGTACAAGGGACCAACCCTTCTCGAGGCTCTAGACCAGGTCAACGAGCCCAAGAGGCCATCTGACAAGCCCCTCCGTCTACCTCTTCAGGATGTCTACAAGATTGGTGGCATTGGTACTGTACCTGTTGGCCGTGTTGAGACAGGTGTGATTAAGCCCGGTATGGTGGTCACTTTTGGGCCAACTGGTCTGACCACTGAAGTGAAGTCTGTTGAGATGCATCATGAGTCTCTTCCAGAGGCACTTCCTGGTGACAATGTGGGATTCAATGTGAAGAATGTTGCTGTCAAGGATATCAAGCGTGGCTATGTTGCATCGAATTCCAAAGATGACCCTGCCAAGGAAGCTGCCAGTTTCACCTCACAGGTCATCATCATGAAC